GTTTAGTTGCAGCCAATATATCAGTCTGCCAGTATCTCACTCTACATATAGGCTGGCTTAAATGCGGATCCCTTGTCTTGCCATTTAGGGTGTAAATTTTGAAACACATTCTTTCCCATTGCAAAGTTTTAGGAGTTATTAGGGACAATGAAGGAGAATTAAATCATACTAACAGTTAGGGGCATGATTTATGCATTAAGAAAATGATATTTAATGCACCTGATGGGAAATGCTAAATCTTCAAGGTTCTACTTTAATGGTCTAAACCTTAATTTTTTAATAACTGCACAGCGTTGAATTTTCTGTTTATTTCAAGCTACAAAAAAGCTTTAGCAGGTTTGTTATGAGATGTTATGAGATGGTCTAAGGTTCATTTGGTTTCACACACACTCATTAGGTTTACAACTTGCAGGAGAAAATTAAGAGAAAGAGCAGAAACAAAGCAAAAAAGAAACTGAAAGCAGTGAACACTACTATAGTTAAATAGAATACTGTTATAAAAGTCATTTCCAACTTTCCCTAGCAGACTGCCTTGAAAGCAGACACTAAACAAACAAAGTGCAATCTGCAGCTCAGTCTTGAAATGTGCCCTATGAGACCTTCTGAGAAGTTACGCCTTAGTAAGCACTGGAAAGGCTACTAGCATATCTGATCCTATGAGTTTAGACAGATCCATGGAACTATTACTGCACTTAATCATATATGGGAATCTAAATGACTTTGTGATTGTGACTCATCACTTTTACTGCCAGCAATGTTTCATGAACACATCCATGAAAAAATAATATTTCACTGGCTGATCCTAATTTTTACAAATGTTTTCATTATTACTAAGCATTGAGATAGGTAGTCATTGAAAAAAGATATTTCAGATTTTTTTTTTTTTTACTTCAAACAGTATGGAGAGAGAGAATGAAATGTGGCTTTAACCAGCAAGACAGCTGAAGCCCTAATTTATGTGATTGAATTGATGTTTATCAAATGTACATTTCTAGGAACGCAGGGAGTCTAGATTTCTGTTTATGTGATTAATATAAAGAGTGGTTTTATCCTGCTAAGAGAAACAAAAAGAGCTGAATGAACTTTTTTTTTTCAGTTGTAATCTGTTTGTTCAATAGATTTTCTTTTTTAGAAAGTAAGTAAGTACTGAGCAGGGACATATATTGCTGTGTAGTTTCAGATGAGACCATTGATTTGTTTTATTGTTTGATCATTAAGTTTATTATTATTGCTATCCATTTCGAATTTAATTTAAATAGGGAGAATTCTCTATTTTCAACTTTTTTGGGGGTCAATAACATCTATTCAATATAGTTTTCTGTCTTACACCAAAATAGATCTACATTAAGTAGCAGCTGGAAGGATTAAATGTCATTTTAACATAGCAGAAGTTGTAACAAATCAAAAGTAAATAGCATTAGATGAAATGACATTTCACTAAACTGCTAGATGAATCAAAATGCTTATTTAATGCTTATTCCCTGCACATCAAGCACACTCATTTTAAATAAAACATTCACTATCTATGATATATACAGCAGCCAAATTTAAGAAGGTAAATTCAAAACTAAAACATTCACAACCCTAAATGAAGAGATAGGATCTTGCATCACAAAATGAGAAGTTTATGTTAATATTATATTTCACTCAATGACTTGAAAATGGAGGTTTAAAAATTGAAATTGGTAACAAAAGCATTTTTTACCAAATATATTGTTTTCTATATAAGAAGCAAAGTTTGCAATTTCTAGTTTTATAAAATCTTACATAATATCCTCATGAGATAAAAGGTATGAAGAAAGCATAACATTCACAGTGAATATTTAGTCTTATTGTAACAATCGATGTCTCTCACTTCTCTCACTATACTCTCTCTTCCTCAAAACCCAATTCAACCTTTAATTGATCCCCCTGTTTCAGGAATTTGTAAGACTTACTCACAAATTTAAGGAAGCAGATGGAAAGTAACAGTTCTTCCTGGCTGCAAATAAACAGTGGCCATAACACAATCCAGTGTCACTACACCTACTAGCACTGTAAGTTGCCTCCACCACCACAGCAAAGCAGCATAGTGGTAGTAATTTAGTAGTTCTGCTTTCCTCAGATTTGTCACACTTCTCCAGGACTTTGGATTCTGCTAACTCTCACCATAAAGGAAAGCAGCATTAAAGTGATAAAACTGATAAAAGTGATAAAACTGATAAAAGTGATAAAAGTGATAAAAATGATAAAAATGATCAAAGTGATAGAAGTGATAAGGCCAGCTCCCATCTGGACTTCCACTAGCTACTCTGTCATTGTAAAGATTTATCAGCTGATGTCTCCAGGTAAGTAAAAAGTTTGTAAAAGCTAGCTTGGCCAGGGGATTACTGCTTAGGACATCTAAGCTCTACTCACATCCGTGCTTTCAGTGGTATATGTAATTTAATGCAAGTTGATGTTCTTCTCTGTTTTAAAGCCAACAGTGTGAATTCTTTCTTTACAATACACTTTTAAGCTTTATGAGTTGCAAATCTCATATGACTGATTGCTACTAGAAAGTTGAAATCAGTTGCATATTCCCGTGGTTACTTGTTTCCCTGTTTATTTCCTGTATATCTCTAAACCAGAATTTATAAATGTTACCATGTTTTACTCTAGTACTATATATAATGGGAAAAATTCCCTTTTGGCAAGACAAGCTCAAATACTATCCTTCTACAAAATCGAAACTTAATGAAAAAGACTAGTATTATCCACTGAGGGTACCTCAGTGATTCACACAGAACAGCAGAACATGCTTGCGCAGCTAGAAAAACAGTAGCACGTCTGAATATCAGTTCTATTAAAACTGATGCAACTGAACACATACTATTTTTGGAGGATCGTCCACATCCTTCTGAGATAATCTGATTGGGCTTTGGATTGGTGTTATGCCCACACATGTGTCAAGTTTTGAGCTTGTTTAACATGCTAAGAACTTGCGCCAGTCAAATATTTTTAAGTTTCTACATATAGACACAATTAATCATCCACGAGCTTGACTGACAGGGTGGAAAACGCTCAACCCATTACTGTATCAGATACGCTTTTCCTTTAACTTCAATCAGAAAAGAAAAAAGACCATGGGGCTGCCTTATTGTTAAATCTTCCTCAAGCTCTGTTGGAAGAGTAAGAAATTTATCATAGAAATATTCAGAAAGGCTTTAAATGCAGTTAGAGAGAAAAATTTGGGCTTGATATTTTGGAATGCACACTCTCTTCCTGGGATTTCTCTTTCTTATGAATGTTCTACAGTTTTTTTCTTTCTTATGAATTTCTCTTTCTTACGAAAAAAATATTTTGTGCTCACTTTATCCTCTTCGCTAAAATGGAAACTTTCCATTAAAGCCATCTCAGGCTTCCAGAGCAGATGAGCTTTCTTAGTATGGGCTTCCAAAAATGTCTAAAATTATATAGTTCAATAAACAATTCATTAAGAGTACTAACTTTATGAAAACATATACTTCTGATTTTTTTCCCCAAAATCATAACTATTTTATTAAAATCATTAAGAAACCTGTTAAATTCCCTTTTGAGTGAGAGTCCAATGGCTAAATACTAACTTTCTAAAAAAGATCTGCACTGATATAAGCTTAATATGACACTGTATTTCTTTGTATCTCAGCTGTCTAAGCAATTATGTAGATGGAAATCCTAAACTGCTTCTTTGTAAAAAATACAAGTTTCCTTTATATTCAGATTCTTCCCACATGTGATAGTGGGGAAGCTTCATTGCACTTTAAACTCAGAACATCATCTAAAACATCTCTGATGGCAATTTCACAGGCTTCAATGGCGGTTGAAGCAACGGCGGTTGAATGGCTGAAGCCAAAAAATACAGAATATTTCAATTCCCTACCCACTGATAATGTGATTTTCAGGGCAGAATTTTTAATTCTAATCCTGTTGGTTTATTATGGATTACATTCTGCGTAAAAGTGTATGCAGTAACTAGATTTGCTTAGTAAATCTATGTGTGCTCTAAAGCAAATGAGAAACAGGACACACATTTTTGGGACTTCTAGTCATCAGAATACACAATCTAGGAAAATATTTCAGTGCTTCCTACTCTATGTAGTAACTATAGTTTTATTTTTCCCTAGAGAGAGAGACTAATGCACTTTTTATCAGCAGTTCATCAGTTCTGTTTCACAACATTGTAATTTAAATAGTTAGTGCTGTGATAACAAAGCAACTATAACCAATTTTTTCAAGTTTGTTATTATCAAGGATTTTCATGAACTTCATGTCATCTATAGCAGACAAGTTATTAAAAATAATTGTGTAAACATCTTTAGCAAATTACTTTGCTTTTCATTTATTTGAAAGGCACTAACTTAGCTCATCCTACCAATTCTGGGGAAAAAAAAAAGATAACTAATGATGCTTTTCTGTAGTCACAGCTCTGAACAGTTAAGACCAAATTATTTTCATTTTAAGTGAAGACTCGAGAAAGCCACATAAACATACAGTTATTTCATTGTTTTTTAAATAGCATAGTACCACAGGGATGTGTACATTTACATTTTGTCATAAAAAGAAGTGTGACATCATAGAGTTGAATTTTAGGAATAACAAAAAAACAGACGGAAGTCCAGAGGAAGTTGTTAATCTAATGAGCATTTTTGATGGAGACTGAGTCAGTTTGTAACTTTTTTTATTCCCTTAATTTTTTCCCTCTTACAACTCAACTGATTCCAATAATGGATAGGATATGAGCTGTTAAAAGTTCATAGGGGCATTAATACTACTTGAGGTACCTTGTCCTTGTCAATGACACTCCTTGAATGTTTTCTCTTTTGGTGCACAGTGAATAAGTACGTTTTAAAGTTCCAAAAGAAGAGATTGGGCTGCCTGTAAATTTGTTCTCTGTTAAACAGAGGAAGGCAGTTTTCTGCTACTCGTTTAAACAAAGTTGAGCGCTTCCATTTCATATCAAAACTAGTAATAAAAGTTGTTATGGGTCATTGACAACTTACGTTTCAAATACTAGATCTACTGCATTATAAACATTGTGATATGGCTCTTGTCATCGTTGCTTTAAGCAGAAATGGCCAGCAAACTTTCTTGGCATCTGTATTCTGAAAGAGAGAAGGCAGAACTTTCTCAGGTCATGAAAGAAAACTCCTAGTAACACCAGAGCACTGGTGACCAAGCTGAGCCCTTCAGAAAAGCAGATACTGCTCTTCAGTGTAATGTACTAGTAGACAAGTGTGTTAGAAGCCTGTGCTAGTGAGTCGCATCACCATGTCCAAAATGACACACACTGCTTATCTGAGCAAATATGTTGATGCAAAAGGTGCATTTGTTAATACAGATCTCCAAGTTTGTTTGTCTACTTGCTGTAACATGAAAAGGCAAAGTATTTCCTTCCCATGTTGATAGGAATGTTTGATCTGAAATTAGTTAAAGTAAGGGACACATTTAAACTCTCTTTGAATAGAAATTCTGCATCACTGTCTGCCAAACGGATTTCAGATATCTGAAATGTGGGATGCAGGAGAATGATTAGCATAAGATTACATTAGTATAGGTTTTGTTAATTAATAAGCTTTCCTAAGTTTTGTTTCATAATTCTGTATTTCTAAATAGCCAAAGAGGTATTTTTCTGCTAGTCCTTTCCTGGCCCTTTACATTTCTGTTACCACAGAAAGATGGGACTGTGCTGAAGGCTCATGCCACAGCGTCATGACAAGAACAGAAAGCCAGCTGGTTTACTCACTCTCATTTCTTTTCATCTTCTACAAAATTTGTCAACCACTCTGCCTCTATTAGTATCACATCTATGACAGCTGCCAGCCAGTATAACCTGATGTTATTTAGCAGAGCACACTGAATATAGAAGTTTTCCATTTAGGTTTATTTGCTTGTTTCAGGGTTATTTCTCTTCTCTCTACCCTACTTGCAGTGACACGTTGTTTAGGGAGAATGGTGTTCAAGAAGATGAAATTGGGCATGAGGCCGTGATAAACTGAGGTCCCAAAGGGAACTCAGTAAACGATAAACATGCCTATTGCAGAAAAGGTAGACTGGCTAGTATGGAACATGAGGGAAAATTGGATAGAAATGAGATGACAAAAACTATAACATCATAATTAGTGGGGAAGAACCTACTTCTTAATTAACTGGTTCTGATGTCCCCACAATAGAGTTATGGAGACAAGGTCATCCTAACGCTCTCTGCGCCTCATACCTGTCAAAGCAAATTCACATTTTTTATTCAGGTGAACATTCAGCACTACCTTTTTTCACTATGCTTCCAGCTCTCTAACTCAAATCCGAGATGACAACAAAGAGAATTGGCCCTTAGACTGCAAAAGAATAATATTTTCGGATTACAAGCAGATCTGTGCTGAACATTTCCGAGATGTGTTCCTAAACATTGCAAAGCATCAACTCTTTCCAGTTCAGTCAGCTTTCAGTTCTTTTTGCTACCCTCTTCATTACTCCTGATTTTTCCTTACTCTTTAAAATCGTGGAGGTTATAAAATTTAGAATATAAGGTCATTTAGTTTATCCTGTCTTTCTCCAGTTCCACTTCTAATGCTTTCCTGGCCTGTAATGCGCCCTTGCAAACTTTCCCGGGGAACCTATTTTAAAGTTTAGTGCCTGTCTTATTGTCAAGACATTTCTCTTGATAGGCAGACTACAAAAAATGAAATTGTAAGAGTGATTTGCTCCTTATATCAACTTAAAAATTTCTCACAAAACCATTAGGAACAAGTTTAGTAAGAATAAAGACTCCACTTCAGCAGGTAAAAAAGAAGGATTTGCAGGAGTTTTTCAATTATTTTTTGTAAGACAAAGAAAGTTAGGAGATGTAGAGATACAGTCCTTACCTGAAGAAAACTTCAAATGAGAGAGTTATGCCAGAACAGTCTGTGGGATCATCACAAACTGAAATATGATTTCTAAATCATTTTAAGAAGTCATAAACATAACTCTCTCTTCCTTCATACACACAAACATTTATAGATGTCATAGTAATAGACCAGTATGAAGGCCCAATTTTGCAATTTTTGCTTCTCTGGACCAACAAGGCCCTTGTTCCTTATTAATAATTTATCTTTTTACAGTATTAGAAAATCTTACTAAACAGAAAAAGCTTTAAGTTTTGTTGAGAACATTCAAGGCTCTCTAAAAGCAACCACCGACTATTGTAATCAGATTTAATGCAAACTCTGTGCATCCTTAATCATCTATTGCCTCGTCCTGTCAGAGAGGAGATACAACCAGTGCTGTTGTTACAGACTTTGAAGAAACTGTATTGTCTTTTTTATTGACATAATTAAAAAAAGTTTAAGGACACCATATTATCAGCCATGTAAAAAAGTCGGTGCACTGTGGTTAAGTTAATAAATACATTGATTTAATTTGGCATTAGATATCTGTATTACAGGTTAATAAAAAATAAGTAAAGGCTGACAGCCTTTGGGAGAAAAGTTTCCAATCTGTTCATGTATAAGCAAGGAGAAACACCAGAAGTTGTTTTCACAAGAGTGAGAGACTAGGACAACTTGGCAGCCCACCAAAGAACCCAGATGCTGTCTCATTTCTACATGCCCTTAGTTTACCAGATTTTGGTACCCTAAGCACAAACTTTGCTGGCAGACCTAGTTTCTGACTCCTCTACAGCTGCCAAAACACCAGTCCCCTTAAACGTATCCCTTCTCCTCAACCACTCTCCACTTCTGAGAATTTCACGAGCACAACTGATCTTGTAGCTTACAGTTAAGCTTCTTATGGTGACCAGTGCAGCACATCATACACCCAAAATTCGCATTTACTCTGTAGCAAATAAAGCACCCCAGAGTCATCACTATTAAATAAAGCCCCTGGATGCTATGCTCCAGAAGTGTATAAAGGCCTATTCAGTTAAGGAAAGTGGATTTCTCCCACCCCAGTAGGCTTCCTTCAGTTTTGGCCATGGAATGCAGCTGAACCCCAGACAGAGTACGGGCCAGGATTTGCTACCATATTTCTTACCAGTTGGTCTCAGCAGGATACAGGCTGCAGTGCAGAGGAGATGATCTCAGAGAGAACAGCTCTCTCTCAGCTTAAGCATTCTTTCCCCTCTCTGAGTTGTGCCAGCTCAACTGTTTACTGCAGCACATGATAGACTTGCTTAGGAAACTGGTCTAAATTAAACAAACAAGCAAATAAATAAATAAATTATGAAAGACACATAGAGTTATTTTAACTTGTAGTATAGTTCTCCAGTGTTATTCCTGCTTGCTTCCAAAAACAGCTGCCAGCTGTCCTGGTGCAACTGATGGGGTGGTGCAAGCGGGAAACTGCCCGGTTTGGTAATACAGACTCTCATAGCCGGTGGCTAGTATCTCCTGAGGTGAGATTGCCTTGCCAAGAAATTAGGGGACTATTGCTAAGGGGATTCCATTTTAATGTCAGAATATTTAAATTAATAACTCTTTTTTTTAATTCTGTAATACAGTGTAACTTGGAGGCAAAATGACAATAGATACTGAAATAAATTCACATATGGATTGGAGCTGCTAAGCTGATGGAGATACTCAAAGAAGTCCCCTTGTATCAGCAGGATGTGCTAGCCGCACACAGATTTCTTGAGTTGTCCTACAGTCAATAAGGTATTACGGATGTTTAAATATAGAGAGCGCATGTGAAAGGAAGTATTTTTCATGTCCAGGAATATTCCCATTTCAGTATGATTTCCCTTGAAAATGAGTAAGCATCTCTTACATTCAAAATGTGTAAGTTAGCCCTTATTCACACTTGTCACAACAGCGACAAAACTAACTTGATGATTTGGGCAAGTGAGAAGAAACTAGTAAATTAACGTCTTATGTGTCATGTTAGACAGAGCTGAACCAACACATGAACATATGTGCAAAATAACAGCCAGCGCTTTTTTTTAGAGATTGTCATTGACCACTGGAGCAGATGGTGCTCTATAGCTCAGTTCTCTTCCGCTCTTCTGTTATGGATGACAGAAGTATTACCCTAAAAGATAAAAACAGGAGGAGCTTCCAGGTAGATTAGCTCTGGGTCAGGGAGTGCTTGTCTTCCAGGTCACCACTATTTCCAAATGAGATTCCAAATGAGCTGCTGAAGAAAAGGAGTGATCAGAAAGCACCTTGCCCCAGCAAATCTGGTAGGGAACATTGCTACATAACACGGATTACAGCTCCTGTGGCTGGAGGTGTAAGAGTGGGGCTGGCACAGAAAGTGCCTCTAAGTGACCATTGCAAAGAATTCCTGATGTCTCACTCTCCCTTGAAAATAGGCAGTCATCTACAGCAGAAAATGTAGGATTGGATTTCTATGTGAACAGACATCCTACAATTTACATAGCAAATTCCTTTTTAGTGCTGAGATTACCAGGTCTCACAACATTATTTTGACATGGAGGCAGGTTGTAGATGGTCCAAAAGCAGCAGGACAGATGTGCATGGAAGAGAAAAAGGAGGAGACTGAAGTGAAGCAGCTGCATTGTTCCCAGTCTTGTTCACAAGCAGATGCCACTGGTGAGCCTCCAATGAAAAAGCCTGATTAGCACATACTAAGATGATTAGGTGAAAGATCCATTACATACTGAATTGAAAAAAAAAAAAAAACAAAACAAGATGAAAATATAAATTATTTGCTTCTTGTTGCAGCTGCATGGTCATTTCTAGGCACAGTAATAGCACAAGGGAAGTTTTTCTTTTTCTTACTCCTTTTTCCTTCCTTGGAAGAATGATGTGAGGTTTATAGGAGAAGTACTACAAACGTTACTCCAGATCGCTTGAGCTATACGTTACACAACATATTTTAAAGGAAGAAATGATTTCAACTGTTAAAGTTTTTATTTCAAGAAGAACTATATTTTAAGCAAATCTGAGAAGACTAAAAGAACACATTAAACTGTAATCAGAGCCCAAAACACATTCAGAGGGTCCTGTCATCTTCTTGTCACTCATTTGCAGAGAAGACTTAGAAACTGTCCAAAAAGAGGGGCTGAACCATTGCTGTGACTTCAACGTGCCTCCCTGAGACAGTGCGCAAGTAATTTATGTAATGATATCCAAAGGATGATAAAAAATTT